TCCATGGCCTGGGGGTTGGGGACTCCAGCTTTAACACATGCTGGGAGTACAGTAGGGCTTGTTGCTTCTGATAGGGGAGGAGAATGGCATACCTGGTAGTGAAGGTGGTTCTCTGTTTGACCCAGGCTTCTGGCTCTGCTCTATAGTTTCCCTCGCCTTATTCCAGGGGACAGCCGTGGTTTAGTGGCCTAGGAGACGAGCAGTCAGGCAGGCAGGCAGTGGGAATGTGGCCCAGGAGTGGAACCTGGGATCAGGCAAAGGCCACTCAGCAGTTAATTATTGCATGTGATCACCAGCCAGGCCTCCATGGGAGGGGGTGGATTAATAGTACAGTCCTAAGGCCAGTCCCCAAGTCCCACTCACTCTATTTTCTCCCAAAAGCTCAGGTCTGATAAAAACTTACAGCATGAGTTGCCGGAATCTTTTAAAATTATCTGGTGTACTTCCAACACCCCTGTCCTGTGATACAGATAACAAGACCCAGGGAATCAGGACAGAGGCAATTGCAGGACTAAGAGCTGGAGTGCAGGCCTTTAAGCTCCCAGCCAGCTGTAGAGAGCAAGGAGCTCTATGTCCCAACTTATAGAGCCACCAACTCCTCCAACCTCATCAGCCCCATGCATGCTCAACCTCCAACTGCAAAATCACAGATGTTCGTTCAGATTACCAGAACTTCAGTTGTTTAAAGACCCTAGTTCCCCTCCCATCTCTCACTCACCCACCAGCACAAGTATCCTTTCTACAGCATCTAAGAGTCTGGTCTAATTTAGACTGCTCCTACTACTCCCACCCTTTTTTTTTTTTTTTTTAACTCTCTGAGACCGTGGCGATAGATACCACAGGTGGGGAAAGGAGAGAAAGGAGGGGCAGATGTGGGCAGGAAGAAATACCGAGCTTGGTTTTGTTGAGGTGCCTGTGTGCACAGCCCAGGGGGAGGTGGTTGCAGGGGCGAAAGCCCAGGGAAAGGATCGAGCTTGGATGCAGATATGGGAGCCATCAGCCTATGGATGGCAGCAAAGTTTAGGAAAGACAGGGCCCCAATACCTTAAGGAAGGCCACAGGTCTGGCTCCCTAGAGCAGGAGTGGGGTGGAGAACCAGAGAAGGCAGTTAGATCGCTGGAGAAGAAAGAATCAGCGAAGAAGAAAGGCACTAAAGGCTCTACAAAGAAATTGACTCCCAGGAAACCTCCAGTTCATGCCCTGCTTTCCCTCTCCCTCAGTGTAAGCCTTACCGGAATCCTGTGACAACCTGGGAGGATTAAGCCCTCTGAAGACCTTAGCAGGTAAAGGCCACTGGAACCCTCAGGCTTCTCTCTTGGCTTTATAAACCCAGCCTTCTCCTGATTGGAGGATAACCAGGTATCTAGACTGAAGGTGGGAACTCCTCTAGATAAGACTTGCCCCTGCCCCTCATCTTCCACCCCTGACCTGAGGGCTGATCATTTAACTGGGCATTAAGCTCCTCCATTGCAGGAGTGAGATTTAGCCCCTGGGCCAGGTCTCTGGGTCCTGAGGGCTTCAGAAGTGACCAGCTAATGGAAGGGGACTTGGAGGTGGAGTTCTGATCTGCGGGGAGTCCCTGCCCTTGTTAAGCCTCATGCCCTTGTTGGCAAAAGAAACATCCAAACCTGTAGAGAATTTTTGTGAGTTTATTTGAGCCAAAACTGATGACAATTGCTGGGAAGCAAGATCTCAAATGCTCTGGAGAATGACAGTTTTCCACTTTCTGCTATGCATTTAAAATTAAGGAGGGAAGAGAAGGAAAATTACACGAAGGTGGGAGAAAGCAAGGTGGGGGATAGGATTACAGGACAGTTAAGATTATGTGCTCTCTTGAAGGTGGTTGCAGCTTATTTCAAAGATGTATTGACCTAAATGCATAAAAAGAATGGACAGGGCTTCCTTAAGGCAAAGATAAACGTTTTATTAAAGAAGTTATATGCCTGAGGTGTGATTAACTACCATAACCTGCCCAGTTAGAAATTTTTATTCAGATCACCCTGTGAGGTTACTTTCCATAGAATACCTTTTTTTATCCGCACTCTGCTCTGAATCTGGGGCCTAGGTCACATCTGGTCAGCAGGGAGGGACAGGGTCAAGCAGCTGCCTTGGAGCCCATCTCAAGAGTATCTGCCTAGACCAGAAAAGCTTAATACCAGCAAGGTTAGTCACTGGCATCCTTGTGGATCCCAATCTGAAGTCTGCCCTGTGACCAAAGATAACCAGGAAGGTATTTGACCCTCATGGGTGGGGGCTCTGGGCTACAGGGAATAGAGATGGGAGAAACCAGAGCTTTTCCTGAATGCCAGCACATCGCATATGCAATCGCTTCTCGCCAATCTTCAGAGCTGCAGAAAAAGCAGTTGCCAGGCAGCAAGGAGGGGCTAGGATTCAGATCTGAGTTGAATTTCAAGCCTGTCTTCTTTAACAAAGAAAGGAGAGCTCTATGAAGGGCTCTCAGGGCATCGGCCTAATGATTACAGGTCCAGTGTTTCTTCTCTGGACTCATTTCTTACCCTTTCCCTCTTAATTTATATCTTACCCTTCTAGAAATTCTGCTTGCACTTCTATTACCGCCAAGCTTTTGCACTTACTGAAACTTCTCCATGGAGTGCTGTTCCTCCCGCCATTTTTTGCTCGGCAAACATTACTCCTCTAGAAGCCTTCCCTAATCTCTGGGCTTTCACAAACTACACTACACTCTGGGCTTCCCTATAGCAAAGCCTCAGCTCTTTGTTTTCTAATACTTGTTGATTCTCAGGTCCATCTACCACCATCAGACTGTGCAAGGAACTCAATTCCCTCCCCATTGGTGGAGACTAGCAGACTGGGTGCTCAAAAAACCTCTATTGACTGACAGAATGAGAACATGGATTTCTTAACCTCATGAGCACCTCCTCTGTGCCAGGTACTGACTCAGGCCCAGGGGATCTGGCACAAATGGTATAGACATGGCTCCAGCTTTCAGATGTGTATGTTTTGTTAGGGAAAAGCCAGACAGTGAACATAGTACGTAAACATCTGTACAAGGGGACTAGAGTAATGCAGTAAGAAAGTACCTGGATGACCACTTTTGGTTCAGTGGTCAGAAGTCATTTTGAGGGGAAATTGTACTTTAAAATCTAAGGGGCTACAAGGAACCAGCCTGCAGAGAATAAAAGAACACAAAGAGGGAAATTGCTGGAGTAAAGGCCCCGCAGCGAGACTGAGAAGTGTGAATGGAATTTGGCTATGGGGCTGTGAAAGGGAAATGATTTGATATGTAATCTAAGTAGGGAGATGGGCAGAGCCTTCTATGCCATTGAAAAAGTTTGGTTTTTCCAAAAGATACCGTGGAAAAAATATTAAGGGGTGAGAAGCTGTCATATAACAAGACATTTTTGGTGTTTGTTTTTACTTTTTAAAATATGTCCATCAGATAGTAAAACTCATGGGTGAAAGTCTGCTGACAAATAGCACAGCTACAATTCTCAAAGTATCTCCCTACAATGTACTTATTATTTACAAAGGGGAAAAAGTAGTGGAGAAACCTAGCAGACCCAATCTCAACCAAAAGATCAGTTAACATCATCAGGAATGGTCAAACCCAACACAATGTGACTCCTGTTATAATGCACTAAGAAGGACATAGTATTGCTTTTGGGATATTTGTGTCAAAAATATACAGCTTCAATCTATTCATGAAGAAACAGATAAATTCAAAAGGAGAGATATTCTATAAAATAACTGGCCCATGCTTTTAAAAATGTCAAGGTCATAAAAGAACCTCCCTCCCTCAAATATCCATCAGTAGGTTGACTGAAAGGTGACATATACATAGAATGAACTATTCCCCAGCAACTAAAAAGAATGAACTAGATCTCAATAGATCAATATGGAAAGATCTCAGAAAGCATGTTCTCTTGATAAGGCACATGACAAATGAAAACTACACTGAGATGCCCATTTTTCCACCTATCAGCTCAGCAGAAAAGCAAAAGTTCGATGCCATACCGTGTTGACAAGGCTATGGAGAAACAGGCACTCATATACTACTGGTGGGTGCCACATTGATACAACCTCTGTAAAGTTGTAACTATCAAAATTAGATCTCTATATACTCCTTGCCCCAGCAATCCCTCTTCTGGAATTTAAGTATAACATTCTACTCTGTACAAGATTATTCATTGCAGCCTTGTCATTTAAAAAAAAAAAAGGAAACAATGTACCTATTCACCAATACCCCTCTCCCCGCTGCCCTCACCCCCACCCCCGCCATGCCCCCCAGGCCACACCTAAGTAAGGGAAAGAAGGGGAAAGAAACTTTTTCCCACCAGGAAAATTCATCAGCCAATTTCTGCCCACCTTCCCTCTACCAATCCCATTGTCCCTTTGTGGTGTGGGAGTGATGAACTTGGCAGAGGGGGAAGCTTGGTGCAGAAGTAAGAACTCCAAACTAAGGGACCAACTTCTGTCCTCTACTTGCTGGTGAACTTCAAGCTAGTCAGGAATGATGAATTAATGAGATATGCCCCCCATCCCATTCACCCCAAAATTATTTACAAGACACAAGACACATGTGGGTCTATCTCTTTTAATAGGCTGTTAGAGGAACCCCACAGGATCCATTCTGAATCAGGAACTAATGACCTCGGCATTGTGAGGCCCACCTCATCTGAGAGAGTTGAGCTGGGCTGAGCTGAGGTCACCCAGGTTGGGTGCAGGCAAGGAAGATCTCCAGATATCAGCAGTGGGAGCAGCTCAGTCAAGGAGCCAGAGTTGCAGCCTCAGGGCCAAGCTGAGCAGGAGAGGCACAGCCCCGTGGGGCATGGCCCTGGCTTCATTGCCAAGGCATAGAACCCGATCATCTCCTCACTGGGGTTACCCGGGGCTGGGTCAAACCACAACTAGATGCAGTGGCCACTCCCTCAGCTGCATTGGCTGACCTTGTAGGAGTGACTCCAGAGGCCTTCACACAGGGCTGCAGGTGTGGGGAGGTAAGACTCAAAGGTGTGGCATGCCTAGGACATGCCACCCTGAACAATCCCGATCCCGTCTGATCTTGGAAGCTAAGCAGGGTTGGGCCTGTTTAGTACTTGGATGGGAGACCACCTAGGAAGACCAGGTGCTGTAGGCATAAAAAAATAAATAAATAAAATAAGGGATTGTAAGCTGACAAGGTCCTTGCAATCTGTGAGGTCAATCAAGGGTTGCCTCGCTTAAAACAAAGAAAAAAAAATAGGTGCCACTGGACACTTGTTAGATCCTGCAGGAAGAGAGAGCATGGACACAGACATTCAGCCCCTGGCTATCCCAGAAATCCTCACCCAATCCCAAATCCTCAAACCTCCTTTGTCTAAACTCCACCTCCATTTCCCCACCCACCAGCCCTCACCTGAGGTCCAGTTCCAGCCCTTATGCCAGTCGCTCTTGCAAGTGTAGGAGGTGCGGCAGGCTTCCCACCAGCTCTGACAGTCCTCTTTGCACAGGGGCACATCCAGGAAACGTTCTTTGCGCCAGCTCTGGTCTACCTGGGTGGAAGATGGGGCGAGAAGACTCATCTCAGCCAGGTACGTTGGCAACCACGACCTTGACTGAGCTGGAGGGCAGCCTGCTGGGGTGGGGTGAGGGAGACACGCATACCTGCTGGATCCAGGGCCCCAGGTTGGGGGAGCACTCATACAAGCATGTGTCCTGGATGAAGTGGCGCTTGCAGGCGGGCTCCATCTGGCCACAGTGGTCCCAGTTAAAGTTATACAGGAGGGAGGTGTCCCTGTGCAGCTCCTGGCTGGTGCTGACGGAGCAGCAGGCATTCTTCTTCCAGGGACTGCACTGGGTGGAAAGGACACAGGACTAAGTCCTTCCCCCACCACAGCCATCTCCCCATATTCTGGCCTCTCTGTCACAGTAGGTCATCCAGACAAACACTCACTGGGAGGGTGCCTCTATGCTTGGCTCTTGAGGTGCCCCCATTTTTGGTGGAGGCAATTATAATATTGGCTTTTTTTTAAATTAAGTTTATTGGGGTAACATTGGTTAATACAATTATATAATTTTCAGGTGTACATTATAATTTGACATCTATATTCTATTGTGTTTACCACCCAAAGTCCAGTTTCCTTCAGCTACCATATATTTGATCCCCTTTACCCACTTCACCCTCCCCCTACCCCTCTATATACAGAGAATACCTCAGGGCATGTGGGAGACCAGGGGAACCATGGTCTAGGGGAGCAATTATTTGTACAGCTCTAAATAGTTTACAAAGTTATTTCACATTATTCAAGTTATTTATGTTACCCATTTTGCATCCAACCAATATTAACTAAGTACTTATTATACATCAGGCCCTGGGCTAGGTACTGAGAATAATGCAGTGAACAAAGCAGATCAAATCTCTACCCTCATGTTGCTTATTGTTTTCATCTGGGGTCGGAGGAAGACAATGTTGTAGGCCTAGAAAACAGGAGATGCAAAGTCTCTGCAGGATCAAAAAGTCCTTGAGGCCTTTGTACTTTATCGTCTCAACAAGCCAGTAAAAATGTCATTACTCTAATTTTTACAGAGTTTAAATAAGCTGAATCCCCGGTAAATGGTGGGGTTAAGATTCAGGTTGGGGAGGAGAGGAACCTGGCCCCGGATTGTTTGAAGGTGGAGGTGAAGGGGGCTGGTCTGGCTTTCCCAGGGTTTGGAACTCCAGGCTAGGGGCCTCCAGATAGGTCCTGATAGCAGCAGGAACAGAGGGGCAATGGCCAGCATGTGGGCCTTAACTCATATGGACCTGACTAATTTGGGGAAGGCAATGCTAGAGGGATAAATTCAAGGCAGTAAGACAGTGGAAGTGGTGGAGGTTTTTCTTTAGAAATCACTCTAGGCTGGCACTTGAGAGCGGAGTGATCATGAGCCAACTGCTTCAAGTCTCTGAGGTGGACTATAGTACCCAAGGTCAAACAAGAGGGGAGATGCAATAGGTCTGGGCTCTCAGGAGAAACTAGGGAAAATCCATGAGGTTGGGGCCAAACCTATCCCTCTCCAACAACCTATCCCTTACTCAGTGCGGCTCACACAGACTGCTTCCAGGTCTCCCCGACTTCACACATGCCCTTCCTCAGATGCCCCAACTCCTGGTCACCTTGCAAGACCTCATGCATCTCACCCCTGACCTGCCAGCCAAAGTCAGTGGTTTCTGCCTCTGAAAGAGTTAATTATTATAATGAAAAGCATTTCCTAGCCCTTAGTAGGAGCTCAACAAAAATGGCTACTCCCATGTCTCCCAGAATTACAATCATCTGTCTCCCTCAAAGGTCTGTGTTTGCACCACTTCTTGGCAAAGAGGAAGTGCTCCAGAGGGTTCTTAAAAGCACCCTTTAGAAAAAGTTCTAAAAATGATGTGGTTGGTACAGATTTTTGGTTTGGGAAGATGAAAAAGTTTTGGAGACAGATGGTAGTGATGGTTGCACAACAATGTGACTGTACTCAATGCCACTGAACTGTGTACTTAGAAATGCTTAAATTGGCAAGTTTTATGTATATTTTACCACACACTCACACCCATACACACACACAAAGCAATGAAATGTTGGAAGTGACTCAGAAGTCAAGGGGCTGCTGGGCTTCCCTCTCTTCGCTTCAAGCCCCTGGAGTCAGTCCATGCCACAGTCTTCCCCTGGGAAGATCCGCAGCCCTCTAGCAACATGAAACCTTGTAGGGAGCAGAGGAGGAGAGCAGAAGGAATGGAATACTGGCATCTCTCATGAGCCTGGAGTTCAACTTGAAGCTTAGATTTCTTGAATTGCTTCAGGGCCCTTAACTATGAAAGGGGGACCCTAGCCCCACCTCCCCTTCTTTGTGGGCTGTGGCCACATGAGACTTGCCACCGCTTGTGCTGTCATCCTTTGACTTGTGTACACCCTGTCCTCTGGTATGCTGCCCCTTCCTGCTTTGTCTTCCTGGAAAACTCTTATTCATCTTCCAAGGCCAAGGCTAATGGCCCCTTTCCTGGGAAGTCTTTCCAGAACATCTGATTTGTCACTGTTACTTTAAAACATAATGGGGGTGGGGGACCTGACCTGTTTGTACATGTGTGTTTTATTGAGACTGTGAGGGACTGGTCTGCACTTCTACTTTGCCTCTGAGCTCTGTGGGTTCACACATGTATAATTAAGGTTGGGAAAGGTACCACCTGTTCCTTTCCTAGCCCCTTCTAATAATTAGTCTCTCAATTTCCACATGTACCTGTGCCCTCTCTGGGCCTGTTTCCTCATTTGTATAAGTAGAGAGCACCACCACCTACCAACTTGGCCCTTTGGACATATTCATTGACAAGATGTGAGGAAAGCACGTGGCCCATAGTGGGTGCTAGATAAATAGTCCCCCCCATTATTGTAGGTTTGGTGACCTCCTGGGGGAGGCCCTCAGAATCACCTCAGCCACCTCCCTTGCCTCCATCTCCCCGCTCAAAGCTGATCTTCCCATCCCCCTAACTTCTTCCCTTTTTAGGATCAGCCCTCTCCCCTACCCTAGACCCCACTCCATCCTCACTTGGTCATGGAGCTTGTCCTCAGAGCCTGGCTTTGTCTTGTGGTGTTTGGCATCCATGCAGATGTTGAGCAGATCCATCCTGGCCCATGGAATTCTGGGCTGGGCACTCCGCACAGCAGCCGCCAAAGCTAGGGCAGCAACTGTGTCTGCCAGGCCATGTCCATCTGTTCCTGCCAGAAAGCCACAGTCAGAAGTGGGCAAGGCCTGAAGGAGAAGCAGCAACCAAAAAGACTCTTGGTCATATTTCTTGTCTCCCTCCTAAACCCAGATCTTCTGCCTTCCCCACCCAGTTTACTCCATAGAGCAGCTAAGCCAAGCAATGAGGGGTATGTAAAGGTCTGGGCCTGAAAGCAGAAATCCCTCCCTGCCCCCCAACGCTCACTAAAGGGCACTTCAACACTAGCTTGCTCTGTGACCTTGGAAGGAGCCAACACCCCTGATGGATTTTGCCAGCCCATACTGGGAAATCCCTGCCAGCTCAGCAAGTCCTCTCAGATCCGTTCAAGAGGAACCATACGGCATGATCTGTTGATTGTGGTGAGGAGTGAGAGGAAGTGCATCAGCCAGCCTGGGCAGCCTAGAGGCTTTTAGGTACCCAGAGACGACCAGAAGGGCAGATAGGGAAGCTGACCTGGGCCAGGTGAAGGTCACCGAGCTGTTCAGTTATTGCTCATGGTCCTGGACCAGGTGCCATGGAATTTGGGGGTGGGGGTGCAATGTGGAGAGCCAGTGAGAATGCAGGTCCAGAGAGTCAGACCCGTTTCTCACACCTCAACAACCCCTTCCCCCATACAGAAGGATCTTGGGAAATCCCTAGGGCAGTCTGGCCTAGAGCTAGGGGAAGGCCAACAGGTAAGGGGCACATGGAGGAGGGAACTGAGCCAAAGCAGTGGGCGATGGTGATAATAGAGAAAAAGTCAGCAGAGAAACCAGCCTCCCACGAGGATGAGGACAGGGAAGGGGTGGGAGGGGGGTACTTGCCTTCTACCTCCCATCCCCTTTTTCCTCCCTGTCCTGCCCTCACCTCTGCCCTCAGCCCACCTGGGAAGGTAGAGTGTCTCTCCATCTCCCCACCCCCTTTTATAGGCCTATCCTGACTGCTTGATTAGCCTTTCTGTCAGGGAATGTGGCCAGGCTCTTTCTAGGAAACAGCTCAAATGTCTTTCACTAAGGGAGGGGCCAATTAAATAAATTATGGTACATCCATTCAATCAGATTTAACCTGGCAAAAAAGAATGAGAAAGCTCTTGGTGTATGAATACGGAAAAATCTCCAAGTGTATTGTTAAGCATAAAAAGAAGGGTACAGAATGATGTCAGTAGAATGCAATTTTTGCATGTGAAACAGGAAGAGGGAGAATATATATGTTTACATAAGAAAATTCTGGAACTGTAGAAGAAATTTAAAAAGTGGTTGCTTGTGGAGAGGGCACAGGGTTAAGGGATGAGACTTTCCTCTGAACCTTTCTATGCTGTTTTGATTTTTGAACTATGTGAATGTATACCTTATTTAAATATAATATACATACATGTATGTACATGTATATAAATATCCAGAATTTTTAATGGAAAAATAAGATACAGAATGATACATCTGATTTGATACCATTTATGGAAATTTCAATAACAAGGATATGAGCAAAAATAAATGCTACATATAAGTTATGGATGCTATAGATGTGTTTGCGAAAGCATAAACATGACATTGCTGCATTTTTTTATGGTAGCCGAGAAATAGAGACAACCTGGGTGTCCATCAAGGATGAATGGATAAAGAAGAGGTGGTGCATATATACAAGGGAATATTACTCAGCCGTAAAAAGAATGAAATCTTGCCATCTGAATGGACCTAGAGTGTTAAGTGGAGTAAGTTAGACAGAGCAAGACAAATATTGTATGACTTCACTTATGTGTGGAATCTAAAAAATAAAATAAACAAACTGAAACAAACTCACAGATACAAAGGTTTTGATGGTTGTCAGATGAGAGGGTATTGGGGGACATGGGTGGAAAAGAGAAGGGAATGAGAAGTACAAATCGGTAGCTACAAAATAGTCATGGGGATGTAAAGTATTGCATTAGGAATATAGTCAATAATATCGTTATAACTATGTATATGTTACATAGTGTTAGATGGGTATTAGAGTCATTGAGATGATCACTTTGTAAGTTATATAAATGTCTAATCACTAGGTTGTACACCTGAAATTAATATTATATGTCAACTGTAATTGAAAGAAATAAAATAAAAACATACACATAAGTCTACCAATAGTCCTAGCTTCCTGGGTAACTGCCAAAGAAATTCTATGCATTTATACCATATATAATCCCATTTTTGTGCACAAATGATAGCATACTGTTCTATGATTCGCTTTTCGAGGGTAGTTTCACTGTACATTGAGGCTTTTTACAAAAGAAACAAAAACCCATGAAGCCAAGTTAGCCACACTTACACACTTGAGTATTATTGTCACATTTGATAGCATAACCTTCAAGTCATTTCTTTATGCCTTATATGGTCTAAAATTAATTAAAATGGCAAAAACCCTTGCACTAACCATTGTTTCAAAAGTTAAGAAAAAAAGGTTCACTTTTTCAAGTTCATAGTCTTTATTTCTTTTTTAATTTTTAATTTTTTAATTTTTAGGGAGATGTAATTGACATATAACATTGTATAGTCTTTATTTCTTAACCCATTTCTCGTTTGCCTGGAGAATATTCACAGGTGGCACTTGTGGCTGCAGCATTTACCCCAAGATAATTCACGGATTACAGTCCTAACCTTACCCCCAAAGTTTGTCATGAAATATCTTGCTTTTATTGTTATTTGCTCATCACTTTAGTATATAGCATTCTGTTTTTAGTAGTGGTATATCCATTTACAAAATGTACAAATTCTTGATCGCTGAAAACGTCAAATCCTAGAAAACATAGCATTCTTACGCATGATGTTAACATCGTTCTCATACTGTTAGCCGAAGATTTCATTTGGTAAATCCGATTTATGTATACATTTCTGTTACATTAGGATTAGAGACAAGTTCTGTTTAGAAATAACTCCAAGAACAGTTTTTATATTTTATTTTCTTATTGAAAACCAGCCAGATTTGCTTCAGCCTCAAAGAGCGTATTTATGTAAAATTAAATTAATGCTGGCAGTGAGCAGCACCTTTTTTTCCTAAACGGGAAATGGTTAAACGTTATTGCAGACAGTAAAACTGCTACTAAGCTAGGAAAACACTCTAGGTCCATTCAGATGGCAAGATTTCATTTCCTGGTTGTTGTTGCTTTTTAAAGATATAATGCATATTGATGTTTTCCCGTCATGATTTTGGGAAAACTTCCAAATCTCATCATTACTTACTCAACTAGTAGAATGTCTCTCCTAGGGCAGGGTCTGTGGATTATTCTCAGCATGTGATCTTGCCACAGGTAAGTCAAAGGTGACAAGGTCAGTATCTGGTTATGAGGCACTCACTTTGCCCCACCCACTTCTCCAGGGCTCCATCATTGCTGAGTACTGACGGAAGTCAGCAGCCCTCTGCCCTCCTTCTATTGTACCAGCCTATGATCTTCACTGTGTTGCTAGTCTCCCTATATAAGGGCATGTGTCTGTCTTCCTTCTCATAGGAGTAGTTCAAAGGTATGTATGAAACTATCTTATAGCCTTCTAAACATTAATGTGCATGATCACATTAGTAGTCATATATTGAGGACTATACCAATTAGCATAATGGATGCTTAACTTACTTCATTGTGTCTTGTAGACTTCACAGTATACTGCAAGGTTGACATTATTATTCCCAACATACAGATGAGGCTCTAGGAGTTAGGGGAATTCTCAAGCAGCTAGAAAGTAGAGGAGTCAGGATTCAACCCAAGTTAGTTTAACTGCAAAGCCCATGCTTTTTTTTTCCTTTCCGTAATACTATCTCCAGATACAAGGTCTTATTTTCCTACCTTACCTCCAGGAAATTTAGCTGAGAAACCACAGCCTACATTTACTTTTTAGAATAGCCTTCAGAGCCTCTCTTTCCAGGAACCTACTGGACTATACATATTTTTTTTTAATATTGCTTAATAAGTTATGCCAAATAATACAAATAAAGGAAATATGATATTTTATAAATAAGAGTATCATTTTACCCCATTCCAACTAGAAATAAGCTTAGATTTTTCATCAGAAGTTCTTCCTAGTCATATTATCAAACCAGGTATACAAATCGTACATACACAAAGAAAAACATACTACTTCCTTTGCCTTTTTGAAAAAAGCTAAGCAAAAACACAAATCAATAAATATATAAAGGCCGTCTATGCCTGGACCAAAGATGAGAGCATGTCAAAACCAAGGGTTACAATTAATCCAGTCCTTTGCAGTGGTGGCGGTGGCGGTGAAAACATTTCCCATGTGTGGTGTGTTAAAGTAAGAAACAAATTCTTTGACCATTGAGATATGAGGTCCATGTCCCCTCCCCTTGAATGTGGACAGGCTCTGTGACTGCTCTGACCAATAGAATATGGTAAAAGTGGCACTCTGCCAATTTCTACTCTAGGCCTTAAGAGACTGTTATGGATTGAATCTTTGTGTCTCTCCAAAATTTTTATGTTGAAACTCTACTCCACCCCATGAGATGGTATTAAGAGGTGGGGCCTTGGGAGGTGATTAGGGTTAGATGAGGTGATTAGGATTAGATAGGATTAGTGCTCTTATAAAACTCGTAAGAGCTTGCTTCCTCTCTGCTCTCCACCACGGCAGGATACATCAAGAAGTCAGCAGCCTACAACAGGAAAGAGGGCCCTCATGGGAATTGACCATGCTGCACCCTGATCTTAGACTTCCTGCCTTCAGAACTGTGAGAAATAAATTTCTGTTGTTTAAGCCTTCTAGTCTATGGTATTCTATTATAGCAGCCCAAACTGACCAAAGGGATAGACACTGGCAGCCCCTATTTCCTTTATTTTGCAATACTAGCATTTAGATCCCTGAGTTACCATATACTGACCACCTTGCTAGAGAGAACATATCAAGAGGCCCAGGGACTTCAGAGAGGAGAGGGCCCTAGCTGAGGCCAACCATCTAGCAAT